TATTCTTGACCTTTAAATGACCAATCAATTGCCTGTAAGGTGCAATGCTTAGCAAAACAATAAAGGACTCAATCTTTTTAATGATTTGTTTTCAGACATAAAGAAGCAGGGGGTCTCCCCAAATATTTCCAACCATAACCCTAAACTGTTGAAAAAATTCAATAAAAAGGTAGTTGACCCCCTCTCAATTTGTTGTTACACTATACATGTATACAACTCTGGTTATTTTGGTAATGTTTGAACAAAACGTGGCTACAAAAGAAGTTTGGACTCCCTACAAGTCGAGCAAATAGATTTTTTTCTTCTCAGGAAAATTGTCCATCAAAATTTTTTTTATTATTTTTTACTTGTGAAAGTTTAATTTATTTTTCAAAGGAAAATGTCATTTTTTTTACTGGCTGGAGTCAAACGTTCAAAGTGATTCTACGTACCTGGCTTTCATGTTGGTTTTCCTTATTATTGTATGCTTCTTATGTGATAGTTTAACCTTCAGAATAACATCTTATTTAATATAACAAATGTATATGTCTTACTTCAGGAAGCAGTAAAAAATGTGTATTAAGTCAAAACGGACAATGTTAAAAGTCATGTAAATTTCTCCAGCTTATAAAATTTCTTCTGATCAGATAATATTTCAGAAATCAGAAGTAGGTTAAAGGGATACATAAAGAATTTGATCGACGTGAACTGTCAACAAGGGTTGCTTACTCCTACTACACACCTGATTCCATCCCTGGAATTTCCCTATTTTATGTCCTATTCACTACAGTCTGATTAAAACCAAACCTTCACTAGCTCCTTTTTATTTTGTTTGTCTCAAACGTTCACTAGCTCCTTTTTATTTTGTTTGTCGCGTGCGTCACGCGACAAACAAAATAAGAAGGAGCTAGTGAAGGTTTGATTTTAATCAGACTGTATTCACCAAAGTATCACATATGCATCTTTTGTAAATTTGTTTTAAGATCGATCTCTTTTTGTTAACTTCGTCTTTTTCCATAATTTGTCAAAAAAGGTAATATGTTAATTTATTCAACAAATATCAATATTTTTTTCAAAAATACATTCATAAATATAAGAAACAATTAATTTTTATACATCGAACAAAGAAAAAAGAAAAAAAATGAAAGTAAAAAAATTCAACAAAATTAATTTACTATATTCATTTTCAGCCATTTCAGCATTTGAACATCAAGTCCTCAATAAATGAAAAATAAGAGATGGAAAGGTTCTTTCGACGATTTTATATCATATATCATAAAACAATCAATGCTGTTTATTTATAGGTTAATATCATTATACGCGAACCAAGAAGAACGATATTTACCATATGCATATCATTCAGTTCAGTAAATATTGTACTTTTCGGGTAAGTAAACCATCATTTTGAACTAAAAGAAAAAATATTGTATGTTTTTTATTGCTGTGTATACATTTCTTTTCTAGAAGATATTCTACAAATGCAATCTGCGCCCAGCAAATTTATTTGACAAAAAGCTGTTCCAATTATAAAAAAGCATGTAGATAAAAAATTTGATGCTAGAAAAGAAAAAGGTTAAAAAGTTAAATCTAATTTTCTTTAACCTAAAATTTCCGGATTGTTATCATTTCCAAACTTAAAATCTGAGCCTGGAAAGCTACAACAGAATAAATTACAGTAATGTTTTTATAAAAGTACGAAAACATCTCTCAGTACAAAATGAAACTTACATCACCTTATATACAAGTAAGTAGATAAGTAGTTTATATAAATTAATGTCCTTCTATCACGTGGAAAGAAAGAATATCCTAACGGATAATCATATGATGTTGACTTAATAAGAAGATATAATATAAAATCTCTTAATTGTATACACGTGTCTTAACATATTTTATGTTAAATGAATAAACAAATGTTAATTAAGCACAAACATTACTATGAATTTGAGTGTACGGTAAAAAAAGTTTTTATTTATCATTACCAGGGTCATGGGCGTCGGAAGCAGGTCTTAAAAGAAGCAGATACAAAAGTACAACTTCAATCAACCAATTTCTAATTTTTCTGCTCTCAATCATTTACATATAATTACATATATTGGAATTTGCAGCACTTACACAAAACAACTAGCTGCAAGTTCATATGTGCAGAATCAAACAGTTGTAATTTGTGATATATAGTACATTTATTTAGTTTAATTCACTAATTGATGTAGAAACTTTTATTTATAAAAGCAAAAATACTTATCTTTTATTTATTACAGCTGTCTTTCGTAAACTTTAGATTACTATATTTTAATTTTAGTATTTTTAGGACAGAGATTTAAGTTATTGTAACTAAACGTTCATTTCTTTATCTGAATACATAACTTAAAATATATGGAGATAAGGAACAGTATTCGAGTTAAAAGTCCATTTAACATTTCAAAATAGGAGCGGAGCAAACACGGACCTTTAAAACATCAGAGGTGGGATCAGGTGCCATGCAGGAGTCAGCATCCCCTGCCATGTAAACACATCAATGACTTATTGATAAGAATAAGAATGGAAATAACTATACATTACATTATCGATATAAATGTCGAGTTGAAGGCCACAGCAAATGTTTCTTTTTCTTTTACATAAACGATTTTGAACAAATTCTGCTTCAAATGAAAAAATAGGACTACTCATAACAGGGCGCAATTAGTACCCTTAGGAATTCCAATAGATTGCTGTCTCCAAGAACGACATATATATACTCTAGCTTTTTCTAATATCAACATCAGAGTACTTGTGTGCACAATAAAATTGTTTTTAAAGATGTAATTTTGCAAATGACTAATGACAAGGTAAGTAAATTTACGAGTTTCATTTTTATTTAAGGTTCATCGATACTCTGATATGAGAGATAACTCTTAATGACATAAATGTCTATTATTCCTTTATAAATTTGCCAAGTTGAAGTGTCTTTTTTGTCCAATTTTGCCCCGCAAGCTATGCTATAATTGTTTGTATTTTTTTACTTATAAAATACATTTCTTTTGGAAAATCATTGAAGTTCAAGCAACATGAGTGAGCAGAGGGTTTATGAAACTTAAAAAAGCCTCTGTCAATGATGTCAAAAATAGAGCTGGAGTACTATGTTAGCTAGACACTATATTTTTTTCATATACTAGTACTCTTCTTTTCAAAAATACATGTATGGTTTATGTATTAATGTTAGCGAAAAACAATAACCCCCTAATAAACAAATGGAAAGAACATATCTGTCTCTTCCTTATTTTCTTACAATTACCTTGGAAAAAAATAACAATATTCATTAAATGATTAAATGATTATGCTGTTTTAAGGAACTCTTATCATAAAACACAACAGAGTTTGACATATCTCCTTCTTTTTTATTTTTCTGGAGAAAAAAAATCATAACGACTAAATTCTTTAAAAAAAAAATGATGACTTCTATTTTTTCTTCAACATCACTTAATTATGCAGTAATGATACCATAATATCTCAAGCTTGATTCGATACGCGAAAGCATGGCCATCGTACAAACAATTTGTAGACGAGAAAACTACTGATAAAAACTGATAAAAAGGTTGATGATGCAAGTGTATCTACATCAGTTTTATAATCAACATTTTGTATTTCTATGGTAGACTCATGTCTCAGTTTGCAAATACGATTTACTGTTTTATCTAAGGAATGAAGCTTTTTTCAACTTTTGTTATACGATATAACTTGGGGCAGTTAACACTTAATAAACTGCGAAGCAGTTTATAAAAAAAGCGTTTTGTTATATCGTATTGTTATATCGTATAACATAAGTTGAAATATGCTCCATTCCTTATATATTAATTTCAGTGTAGACAATTAGAAAAATCCTTCAAATATAGGATATTTTAAAAGAAACGTCAAGCTGAGTAAAATAATACGTTTTTGACGTAACTCATTGTGACGTAGACAAGTTATGTGATACAAAATGGATAAAATCTTTTACCCAATCAAATGACGTGTTACAACTATACAATTAAATTGATAAGGACGAACATCACACAATACGTTAGGTTATTTTCATACCGCATTGAATAAGGGTTTTTTTTCTGTTCACCCGATCATGACAAACGAAACACGGTTCATGTGGCAGACGACAATGAATGTTTACTTTTCTAGTATTTCAGAGGTTCATATTTGATCTGTTGGCTATTTGTATAGTTTCATTAGACTTTTTAGCATGGTTAATGTTCACAAACTTCATATTTCATGATAAAAATGACCGAGATGTGTACATTATTTAATGATTTTTGTAGGCCATGCTCAAATATATTTCTTGTTCATATGAAATAATAGTAGTAGAAAGCTAATTAGTTAAAAAGTTAAGTAGAAAGTTGAATGGGTTGTCTTTCTTTTTACTGTTATTTATGAACTACGTATTATTACCTTTTAATTCTTTATCTCCATTTAAATTTTGACGATGCAAAGAAAAGTGTATTTTAAATTTTTTAATTTATCAAGTTTGGAAAATACTAAATTTGTAAAGTACAAAACTTTTAGTCCTGACGCTCAATATGAAGATACCCGTAACAGTTGTACTATTTTGCACAAGAATAGCAAGTACATGTAAAGCAAGAAATATGAAGAGTGAAAAACATTTGAGTCATAAAGTACTTCGACGAATAATTAGCATAAAAATGAGTAACTGTGATATGATATCCCTTTCTGTAATTATTGTCTTTATGGAGTTCTTTAAGATCAAGTAAGATCAAACTCTTTAGTAGAGAATGCAGGAGTGTATCATATTGTAAACTTTGAATTTACATGATTACGAGTTATGTGCTCCTTACTCAGTAAATTCAAACTTTACATGACATATAGTGGCGATAAAATAACAAAAAAGGTATTATATCGTAAAATGGAATCTCATCAACCCTTTTCATTCTCTTTTCAAACGTTTATTCTGTTGCACAAATGAGATCCATTGAATTTTGTATTTTTTATTTTAAAAAATTAAAACATAAACAAAAACTAACAAAATATGAAATTAAAACTTAAGACGTTGTGCACCCAGTTTGATCCTGTTTTAAGAAATTTGAGGTATCGATGCCAAATGAAGCAGCTTTGTTGAAGAGTCGGTCTACTACGGCCTGATCCATTGTCCTTTCACGACCCAAGATCCAGGCATATGTGAAGTGGAAGATCCCCAAAATGTCCGTGCAGGAATAAATCAATGTATGGGTTGTATAGTCAGTGTCTAGGATCCAGTATCTTCCGTATGGAGCCCCTGTAAAAATCACATGCATGAAACTTAAACTTTCAAGTGCCAGATTATTTGTTTATATACTTATATTTTAAATGATGACGCTTATTTTTTTTTCTCGCAATTTTTCATTTATATGTTAGATAAGATTTCTTTAAGAAAGACAAAAAGTATTCCGAGTATCAATGAAATCTGCAAATATCTACAAATATCCATCCAATAAATTTTTAAGTGCAAGGACTGCAATATAACTTGGTAAACAATATTTATTTTTTGATCTGTATTTAAGCTTTAAAAATTATTTCTAAATATCCTTCAACAGCAACTTACAGCTGGAGAATTTAACGCCTAGTCTTGCTGGATATGTTTGGTCAGGTATGTACGCATCCCCAATGGCGTCTCTGATTTTTCCATTTCTGAACGAGAAGCATGAATATTTTGTTGTTTTGAATATTCTGTTTCAATTTGTATTATTTTAAAGCCAAGAATGTATATTTCACAAATATTTTACCAAAAATACATTTCTGTACATTGTATATGATTTTCCTTGAATTCGTGTCTATAATTTTCTTAGTATAGCAAGAATACTGAAAGAACAGAAACTCACTCAATTCCTGAATTATAGACTCTGATATGTCCATTGGATTTTAGCTGGTAATTTGCCGATATACATTTGGCATTTCCCTCAAAGTTTGCTTTGAATTTATATATTTCATACCAATTTCCAAGATACTACAAATAAAAAAATAATGTTCCATAAGAAAAAGACAAAAAAATTATGCTTAATACATATCTCTGCAAAAGACCTTTATTTTATCAGCCTTTGTCATCAATTTTGAAAAAGAGCTCGGTTCATATTATGCATAAAATGGCCCTGTAGATATACCAACTGGTTGATTACCACTTGATGTTTCATTTCAAGCATTAAAATAAAATAGACTTAGTGGTTTCACCTCCTATTAAAAATTTTCTCCTAAAAGTCCAGGTCTTAGAGAACTGACTTTATGAAATTGCAATGTTCTTGAATTTTAAGGTAAACAGGTATATTTGAGTACTTTCAGTGAAGAAAGAAATTTTATTAGTTTATATTAATTTTCATAATAATATGAGCACACTCTCTGATCTAAAAAATAAAACATTTCTTTTAATCCTTAGAATCAGTTCTATCATTTACTAGTTGCATATTTAAGATCAGAGATTGCGCTCTATATCAAATACCGAAAAATAGCTTTAGGAATTGGCTGTATTTGTAGACTTTTCCGAATATGAGGAAATTGACGCATTTAGTGACGTCACAATGCATTGACTAGCCGGAAAATTATTTCATTTTTGATAGATACGCAATCACCAAAGATTTAAGTTATATTCAATGCATTGTTAACTAAAACTAAGCAGTTTCAGTTTTTCAGAAATTCACAGGGCCAAAAAAGGCAAAGGTGAACCTTGCTCTTTAAAAAAAAAAGGCAAATTAAAATAATACTCACCCTAGAAAGATCAAATGTTTCCTGGGTTTTCACCTTAGCACATCTCCCAAAACCATAGACTTGAGCGTAAGATATATCAAATAAAATCACCGATACAAACAGTAACAGCAGCATGTTAATGATTTGAAAGCCTGTGCATTAGTACATGTAATAATAAATTGGACTGGGCAAGGATGATATGGGGTATTTATATAAATACGATCTCACTTCACAAAACGTGACAATGCACGTGAGTAATACCCAGTGTAAACAAGAGAAGATGTGAGACTTTGCCTTACCGGGTATTTCAACAACGTTTATTTTGCTTTATGGGCAGTTTAAAGCTATGGCTATTTGAGGAATAGATTAACCTTTATATTAACCCTACAAATTTCAAGCCCCACTGCGCACAGTTTAAGATATTTACTTTCTGTCATTTTTTTTAATTGAAACTTTCACACATGTTCAAATTTCTGTATAAATATGTGTTACAAAAACAGAATCAGAAAAGAACTAATTTTATTTAAAACTTATTCAAATCCAGTGTAAAAGTTTATTAAGAATGAGAGAGAGAGATTAAGTGAGAGAGGAAAGCTCTATCTTTACATATCGTGTCCTAAAACATATCCAATTTCGTTTAACCTTACCATAAGAAAAAAAGAAAGAAAGGAAGGAAGAAAGAAGGGAGAAATAGAGAATACAACGGTGACGTTTTGAGGGATTTACTAGTAACATTTTAGTCGTTACCCCAAAAATTGATAATAGTAATAATAATAATAAAAAAGTGAAATAATTAAAATTAAGAACCCATCTCGTCCAGAAAGTGTTATAATCTGTTAGTTTTTATCATCTTTTACAGAGTACTTCAAAGCTTTAAAATAAGAATTAAATATATTCAAAAATCCTTGGATAGATGGACAGGTATTCCGACACCGAACTTTATAAATGTTAACAATACCGTATACATGTATTTACAATGTATTTCAGGAATTATCATTTTCCAATATAATTGATAAGAAACTCCAAACATAATTATGTTCTCAAAAAATTGGAAATAAAAATATAGTTTGAACTTGTTTTCATATTGTTTTCAAAAAAAAAAACTATGTATAATTTTTTGAAGTATTTTTTGAATAGGGTAAGTGCATGTGGAATTTTCTTGACATTGAAAGACGTCCCACACTTTTACTTGATAAATGCCGGTCACACTTTGTATTTAAAATAATTTAATGTTTTCTTTGTTTTGTTTGTTGTTGTTTGTTTTTTTGTTTTTTGTTTTGTTTGTTTGCTTTTTTATCTTACAGTATCTTGCGAAACCCGAAGTCTGCAATAATAAATGAGAAATATTAGATGTATATATGTATATATTGATTATTAAGGAGATGTAGAGTTTTGAGTTTGAATGTTAGAGACCTATAAATTGACATTTAATGTGAATATCAAATTGATGATTAGTTGCTGATTAGTATTCAGATGCTTAAAAAGATAATTTCACAGTTAATATATTCAGAAGGAATACCAATTTGTTTAAATTTCTTTAATTTTATTTGAATTTACACACTTAAAAACCGTATTCAAAAGTATTTTTTCCAATTTGTATATCTTCAATTTCTTTAAATATTTATAAAAAATGCAAAATGAATTTAACATCCAAATAAACAATTCAGGTTTATAAAAATTACACTTTGCCACAGATGTAGCTTTAATAATTATAATGCTGCATCTCTAAAGCTTTTGCATGAGTATATCATTTCTTAAAACCAGAGACAAATAAATCCACATTATCTTTATGAATAACAAATATAAATGCAAAATTATGTATTAGCTACATCCATTTTGTCCGACATATCATTAAAACTTGTTTTTTTTAATAATTTCTTTATTGCATTACTATTTTATAGAGTTGTCTCTCTTGTTACTGAAATTGTTCTGTATCATTTATAATGTATTTACTGATTTGTTTTCGATAATAACTTGTATCTGATGTTTAAATTTATTTCAAGGAAGAGACTTTCAATTAATAATAAGAATAAAATATTTTGATACGGTATCTTTTATGCTATGGATATTTTTTGTTCACAAAAGTGAAAAAGTTAAAATGGTATTGAAAGATACTACATAATATTTTGTGATTACATGTACGTGAAACAAGAAGTCTTTCACAGGGAAAAAAGGTGGACGCCGTAATAAAAAAAATGCGAGAAACACGCTTTCGCAAGCTTAGACATAAGTTTGTCCCCTCAACCTCAGCAGTGTAATATGGGACGGGAAAACATGGAGCAAAATATTTTCTGAAACATTTACAAATTCTCAATTTAAAAAAAGATCAATATTTTACATCAAAAGCAATGACAAATATATCATTAACAAAGATTTGTCCAAAATCTGAATCCTGAAAAGAAGAAAACACGTGCTGTGACCTTTAACTCTACATTTAGATATATCGACGACGTATTTTCCAATTAACAATTGTTATTTCCTTTCATAAATCAATACGATATATCCCTGTGAGCTTGAAATAAAAGATACCATAAAGTCTGACACATCTGTTTCATATTTGGATATTTTACTTGAAAAAGATGTTTCTGGTAATCTAATAACCAAGCTTTATGATAAACGGAATGACTTTAACTTCCCTTACTTATGCAGCAGTATACCTAAAGTTGTCGCCTGCACGCCTAAACAAGGTTTATTTAACTCAGTTGATTCGACACGTAAGAGCATGTTTTATGTATGTACAATTTCTAAAACAGTAAATTATTAACAAACTAGTTGATGAAAATCAGCAATCTCGTTAAATGTCATCATTCCGTAAGTTCTATGGCGTCGAATGCTGACTGACGCTTTTCATATTAATTGTTAGGTTATTGTTTGGACACAGAGTTGTCGACATATTTTTGTTTTATTTTTTCGATCATGACAAGGAGCACACGGCGGGTGTGTCCGGGAAAGCTCACTCCTCTTTGGCACCTGATCCCACCTCTGATGTTATGGAGGTCTGTGTTTGCTCTGCCTCAACTTTGTTTTGTTTAGTGGACTTTTGGGCTTAAATACTGTTCGTTATCTCCATAGTTTTCACTTACATTTAAAAATAATGAAATGCACATGACATGTGAAGATAACAAAGCTGAAGTAGCCAGAGGCCATTGAAATTATGCAAATTTGGTTCAAAGCAAACAAAGACCTCTTAAAACACCTGAGATGGTATCCGGTACCATGAAGAATAACTAACCCCTGTTAACCCCCGTCACATTCTTCATGTGATTCTTGAAATGATTAGGCAATCGAAAATCGAAAATCCATAGATATAATTTAATGTAAAAGAAAAGTCTTACCATTTAGTTTTAAAAACAACTTAAAAAAACATTAATTTTTGAAATAACAATCTTTTTTTGTTTCCAAAGATACAGTTTATGATTTGGCCATGATTTCATTGTACCATTATTTTTTTTCAGAAACCAGTTCGACAATTAATGAAAGAGTGAAATTCAAAATTCAACATTTTCATTCTACGTACGTACATAATGTAGACACATATTTATGACAATTCTCACCTCTACACTCATTTATTATTAAGGAAAAATTAGCTATGAGAGACATCGCACACTAAAACTATTTCACAGAGTAGGATTTTCCCTTGGAAAACTGAATCTGGTGTGGGATTTCTGTATGGGAAACCCTACTCTACAACCTGTTTATCTTTTACAGTAAGCATTATGATGAAATTTGACATTTCTGATTTCTACCTTTGTGTATTCTTCACTTTGAAGACACATCATCATTAAGCCAAAACCTTATGAATACCGTGTCACCTATCATAGCATTTTTGTTTTACAATAATTGATTTAATTAGAGACAATTCATGCCATGTGCTTGTGTCTTCGGATAAACCCAATACTGTTTTTTTTATACATCCCATTCAAATAGGAATTGCTTTCATTTTATTTATGTTTAGAGTAAATAAAAGTCATAAAAGCATCAGTATTTAAAACATTAAACTAAAGTGAAACTTAACATCCTTTTTAATCATTCTTTGAGAACGATACCGAACGATCAAGAAAAAGTTCTTTTTGTAATTTACAACATCAATATTAATATCCAAACTTGTACCTAAACCTGAGAAATATACATTTATATAGTATTACATGTATATACTTTTAAAATGATATAAGTACATAATGTAAATACTCGTACATTATAACTTAAAACTTTTCTTTTTGGCTACCAGCTGAAAGAAATCTTTTGTGTGTCCACATGATGGTTACCTTCAGGGCTCAAAAACCATTGGTATATTATTATAACAAACTGTATCACCTTGCTATCTTCATAATTTGTTCCCTTAAAAATTAGAAATAAGATATAAAGTCATTACCCAAAGACTAGCGAAATCAAAATAGAAAAAAAATCAGAAGAATCAATAAAAAAAATGCACGTAAAATGGAATGATAGGATATCAAAACTGAACTGAAAGTTTATCAATTATGTATTCAATCCACGCTTAAAAAAATGACGATGTCCATGGCATCATTTATTTAAACTTTTCTCCAATACTGTCAGGAATTTCTTGAAACATGACTTACATGTATTATATGACTATATGACAGGTACAGGTGTTCTGATAATAAGGGGTATTGACATGATAAAAGAGAGAACCCATACGTTGTGGGATAAATAAATGTGTCACATTTCTTCCATATTTTTCTCATTTGGATCTTAAGAAGTACTAGGATCTATCTTTTTTTCCAGGGGAAAGAACATGAATTTGAAAGTGAATTAATGTGATTACAAATTATGATTTTGATGTAAATTCCTAAAATGCATTTTATAGATACATGTATAAGTCTTAATAATTTAACTAATATTATTTTTTAATACACAAAAGACTACAGAATGTCTTACTCATTGATATTAAAAAATACGAAGGGAGAAAAATAACTAACTAGGTGAATCAGGTTATGTTAGATTAAATGTGCACAAAAGTTGATTCGATGTATATTGTAGCAAGCAAATACTGAGAGTAGTATGTCATCAAATGTTTTATCTTTAAAAAGGTAACTAAATCATTTCCATTGTGACGGTGTTAATTATGAATAAAATCAATAGAAAAAAATGTGTTCTCAATTTTTCTCCAATTATGTCTCTATTTTTTAATCAAATAAAAGGGATGCTGCACATCCAGC